TATGTTGGACTTTCATCAGATTTATTTAATGATAATTTTTATTAGAGGGAGAATTTAATTGTGCTTCTCATATATTTAAAATCAATAAATAAAACTGAATTAAATTGAATATCTTACTTTCGCTCATAAAATTTATGGATATTGTGGCAAGGGATGACAATTTTAGACATTTATAAAGAAAGGAAAGTTCGGGCAATATTGAATAAATATTGGATTAATACTAAATTCAGTCCCATTCAGATGAAAAGCAGTTCATATGATATTTTAATTGAATCCTTTATAATTAGAGGAATTATTTTATTAAAGTCATCTCCACCTAAAAGAAATTTTTGAATAAGGCAACTTTATTCAAATGATTGGTATTCACACTTAAAATGTATAACATCATAAGGTTCATTTGTATATAAACAATAAAATTTTCATCTTATATATCAAATGCATCTTATTCTGAATTAAATGAATGAAAAAAGTTAAAGCATATGGTTGGTATGAGTTTTATTGGTGCAAACTATATTCAATTGAAAGTCTAAATTACATATAAGTATTAGTCTCAGCAAAATTAAACCTATAAAGGTTTTACTTTCAACTTTGCATGCACACTGAGATTCTTTGGTAGGATAATTTTATAGCAAAAAAAATTACTCTTTATATCCAACCAATTAAACCATCTAATTAGAGCAAGCCTTGTAAATTATTTTTACTCAATCTAATTAATTAGATCAAACCATTATGTTTGATGGTTCCATTAGGACTGAATTATATTCTAAAATATTAAAGGGAATTAATATCATTTAATTATGTTCATTGATGATTTATAAGCTACCATCAAATTCCTAACTTTTTCATAACCAGAATTAAAAAGATTTCTACCAAATTTTAGATAATATATTAATTAAAGAGAAAATATAGTTTTATATCTAGGAGAATATGGTCATTATCTTTTTTTTAATTATTGCTTGATAAGCTTAATGTTAATATGGAAATATATTCTCTGCTTTATATTGTTTTTAACCATTAAACATTTACTATTTAATCTGCAGGTCTTTAATTAAAGAAGTGTTTAAGAGCTATATCTTAACTGAAATTAAAGAAGAATTTCATCAAAACATTATTTGAAGTTTTGTCTTTACATAACAGCAATAATTCTCTAAGCAGTATGTTTAACGATCCTATTCTTATAATTATATTTATTTATTCAATTTAAAAGTCTTAAATAAGCTTATGCACTCTAGTCAGTACTTTATTAGTTACGAAGTTATAGCCATCTTCCCATATATTCATAATTAGAAGATTAAATTAAAATTTTTTGGTATCCTTTCTCATTTAACCTGAAATAAGAGTAATCATTTAATTCAGATACCTATTTTCTCAATAATAACATATACTCATTATCTCTGTGATTATGAATTTTTTAATATAATCTCTAATTCCTTGGGGAAGTAATTTTTTAGACCTATCATCCTCTTAAAATGAGCTTCACTCTAATTTTTACTAATCCTGAATGGAACTATTCTTTTAGAATCATATTGCAAGTTTTTGTATCGAATCAATCGTAAAACATAAAGTCGAAATTCTGAACTCATTATAACTGCCTTTAGTTTATCTGTATTATTCACTTATGTTTCCTCTACTGTTAATTCTTACACCCAAATATTTTAAAGCAATCTGGATTCAAGTTAAAATTTCTCCTATTGGCCAAGTATTTAGCTTTCTAAATATCAACTATAAAACAAAGTTTTTTACTAAAATCCATAAAAAACTTTTTTAACTCTACTATTATATCTTGATTAGCAATTGTTGTTAAATAATTCAAATATAGTTAAGCGATTCTTAAATCTCACTTTCTTTTTTGTTTCTGGGTCAAATATATATAGGTTATCACAAAATTTATTAGATATTTTAAGCTCTCTTCGTTTATTGGGTCCAAAACCATGACCAGGTTAAATAGATCCTCTCTGTCCACAGTGCTTTATGCATTTGATAAAAAAAATTGGGACATGCTTTTTTTTAACTTTCCTTTTAATTCTAAAATGAACTTTGGCAGTTAGACCTGCGTTTCTAGTTGTTATACTAAAATCTCATTAATTATTCAATATGCTTATCACAATCATCTACTTGATTTTTATCATGTAACTTCATTCTAGGAGCTTGTTAAAGTGACTATAGATCATTATTGGTCTCATACCTCCTATTCGGGCTATATTGGATGCAACATTATTTAAAGGAATCAAACTCTGGGCCGAAAGAAAACTGATACTGTTTTTATCATTCCTCAAGATTGAACATGTCCATTTTCTTCAAATGTTCCATTACTAATCTCACTAGAGTCAAATTAGTAAAATCATACGAAATAGCCTTATTCTACCATTGTAAATACTAATCCTCTCTTTTTAATCTATAC